TGCCGCGAAAAAGACAGATTTATACCATCGTGGATGCTCAGAAAACAAATAGCAAATTTTGTCCAAAATCTGATAAATTCGTTTTCCGTGTCCACTTTTGCACGTGTCATTTCTCATTTCATTGTTGTCTGCTGCATGTTTGTGCTGTGCACTCTACTCGTAGAAATGGAAGGAAACGGCAAGGAAACAGCACCGGAATGGAAAACAGTAAAGTGCCAAATAATACCGAAGGAGAAGTCAGGTTTGTTTTTTATTTTTTTTTAATTTATATTTCTAAATCATTTTATTTGTGTATTTTCGATCCGTCACCTTTTTGTCTGAAAATGTTGAAAAATTATTTTCATTCGTTTTCGCACACCTCATTTTTATTAACATCGGATAGGCAGTTATTAATAATTTGAAAGAGAAAGTTTTTTCTATATATTTTTTTTTGGCGTTTGCTTTTAATCACATATCGGACTTCTTATGTATCCCAAAATAATTTAAGACCCAGCTTCGAGAAACTTCTGCATTTAATATTCTTTTAAAAACTGTGGAGATGGTGAAGTTGAATTGTAATTTTTTTTTTAATATTTAGTTTTTTCAATCTAATTTTTCTTTTTTTCTTGAAACCTTACACTTTAATTGAACTGAAAATTAATATAAAAAGTGTATAATAATAGTTCCATACATAATAGGTGTTCTCCTTTTCAACGCATTGATCTTGTCAGAATTGAATGAAAAAACAGCTTTAATTAATCACGATATACCTCTATTTGTAAATAATTATTATTCATTATTTTATACATTTGAAAATATTACAAGTTTATTTAATTTTTCAATGGTAAGTACCCGACGCAAATTGAATAAGAAAGAAAAATTCAAGTTATTATTTTTAATATACCAAGTGGGTTATTTTGGTGATGCATGTATTGGGATCTCTGGAACTGTAATAGATAGAAAAATTGTGGCACCTTCATATCGACTCTACCTGTTATAGTTTTCGAGATACGTAACCTTCATAAATTNAAGAAAAATTCAAGTTATTATTTTTAATATACCAAGTGGGTTATTTTGGTGATGCATGTATTGGGATCTCTGGAACTGTAATAGATAGAAAAATTGTGGCACCTTCATATCGACTCTACCTGTTATAGTTTTCGAGATACGTAACCTTCATAAATTTTTTAAAGCTACGTTACCACGTTTCTCTGGTGGTTGATGTTATTTTTCATAGACCAGGGCGGATCTGTTTTGAGGTGGATGTGAGAGGGGGCAAGCAAATTTTTCCTGGATTACCTTCAGTATAACTCACATAATAAAAGAGTAGATCCCTAGATCTGGGTGAGGTCCGGAACATTTTCAAAATTACAAAAATGTTTAAAAAATTAAAGAAATGCTTATTTTATCCGAGTTTTTTACTTATATCTTGGAACCTATGCATTTCGGAAGAATATTGAAGAGGAAAAAAGTTAAAAATGTTTAAATTTATTACCGAAGTTGCAAAATAGCAATAATTGATGAAAAAAGGCAAAATAATCAAGTTTTATTAAAATCGGTTCTAGTTTTCGCAAAATAATTTTTTGAAAAAATTTTTCGAATTTTCAGTTCGAATATCGTAATGCCAACTGTCTAATTTGTACATATTTGGTTATAAACAAAGTTTATTATTTATGCATTAAATAATATAATGTACATTTTATAGCCTATGCCATTGCATTTTTTCAATGAAAAAATTTGTTTACATATATATTTCAACACTGAATATGAATATATTTAGTTATAATTATTACNTTAATTAATCACGATATACCTCTATTTGTAAATAATTATTATTCATTATTTTATACATTTGAAAATATTACAAGTTTATTTAATTTTTCAATGGTAAGTACCCGACGCAAATTGAATAAGAAAGAAAAATTCAAGTTATTATTTTTAATATACCAAGTGGGTTATTTTGGTGATGCATGTATTGGGATCTCTGGAACTGTAATAGATAGAAAAATGGTGGCACCTTCATATCGACTCTATCTGTTATAGTTTTCGAGATACGTAACCTTCATAAATTATTATAAGCCACGTTACCACGTTTCTCTGGTGATTGGTGTTATTTTTCACTATACAGGGTCGGAAAGTCCACATGGTTCATCGGCAGTTACGTGAGAGCGATAAAGTAAGTCATAGAAATTCGTACGATAGAGAAAGATGGCTATAATGAAGGCGCCTAATAGTCACCCCCCAAATGGGCGGTGACTATTAGACGCCTTCATTATAGCCATCTTGCTCTATCGCACGGATTTCTATGACTTTCTTTATCGCTCTCACGTGACGGTCGATGAACCATGGGGACTTTCCGACCCTGTATAGACCAGTGCGGATCTGTTTTGAGGTGGATGTGAGAGGGGGCAAGCTAATTTTTTCTGGATTGCCTTCAATACAACACATAATTAAAGTGGCCCTCCTAATCAACCGATTTAAATTTTTCAAAAACCATTTGAAAGGTTGAGGGGTCTTTTCTATGTCAAAAAATTTTCAAGTATCTAGATGCTTTATTTGAGGCTGTGCAAAATTTTGAAAATTCGAAAAAAATTTTTCAAAATTAAAAAAAAAATATTTTGTAGAAACTATCAATCTGATTTTAATGAAATTCGGTGTGTTGTTTTATTATACTCTAAAGTTCTTTTTACCAAAATTAGAATGCCCTCGGAGCAATTAAAATATTAAAAAAAAAATTATCCAAAAAATTTGATTATTGCGCCTTTTTTTGATCAATTATTGCTATTTTGCGACATCGGCAATAAATTTAAACATTTTTAACTTGCAGCATATTATGCAAAATTCAATTCTAAAACTTTTTTTCCTCTTCAATATTCTTCCAAAATGCATAGGTTCCAAGATATAAGTTAAAAACTGTGATAAAATAGGTATTTTTTTAAATTTTTTAAACATTCTTGTAATTTTGATAATATTCCGGACCTCGCCCAGATTTAGGGGTATACACTTTTATTATGTGAGTTGTACTAAAAGTTGTATTCCAGCAAAAATTAGCTTGCTAGTGGGATATTTCGACAGATCCGTTCTGGTCTAATATTTCATTCAACCAATCGAGCGTAGACGCAACGGTTTGCTATTGTTCATTGTAAACGAATCATTAATATAGGCCCTGCAATGTTGGTGTCTAAGATAGGCGGTCCACGTAGCTTGTAAACATTTTTGAAGGCTCCGTCTTTTGGAAAAAATTTTTAATTCACAGAAAAAACTTGTAGTTGCAACCTGGTAATTGAAGATAACTGCATGTTAATTAATTAAATTTTTTTATTTAGATGATTCTGTGTCATATGAACGCCTTGAGTCTTACGATCTAGACGATGACGGTAAGATTAGAAAAACCCTTCCAAACGGCTAGTTACAGTATTTAGACATCGGAACTTATTTAAAAAAGTATTTGTGTAACGAACACAGTCAATTTACAACTTATAAACATTCTATAGAGTTTTCTAGTCTCAAAAATTGGAATTACGCTCTCTATTTCATTCTGTAAAAAAATGTTTCTACTAAAACTTGTTGTCTTAGCGTTTGGTGTTCCTTCCTAGCCTGCCCAGTAAAAAATTTTCTTCTGATCTCGAAAATATACAAAAATTTCAATATGTGTATCTTTTCTTACTTGAAATGTCTCAATTTTTTTGGTACTTTGAAGTACAGCGCTTTCATAAATGATTACAAGCCACATTTAAACGAATCGTTGATATTGATTTAAAGATTTTTAGTTTTAGAAGTACCATTCGAGCTATGTTGGGTTGTAGTAATCATTTATGAAGGGTCCGTATTGTTATTAGTACATTCTCATTAAAATTTTTAATTTGACTGAAAAAGCAACGGTGTCAGTAGAGATTGAAACGGCTTGCTATGATGTATTTACTTGTAGTTAGATAGCCTGTACCGCCTATACATACTTGAGTTACTGTAAATATCAAAATTTTGATAAATATTTCATTATTAGATTTTCAAAATGTGTCTTTACGTTACACTTTTTAACAGACCAGATTGTTGACTTGCTTTGTAGATGGTCATGGCAGAAAGGCGTTGCTCGCTTCGCTTGCGCAACCATTGCATTAGGTAACTCATGTATAGTATAAATATTAGGTTCTTAAGCGTAAACATCAGTAAAAACAACAAATTCTGTGCAATTAAAGATAGCAATTAGTAAAGGAAGGTAATTTTGCTAAGTAATTTTACTAAATTTTCCTTTTTTCTAGTACTTATTATACACATTAATTTCTCCTATTTCTCCTGTGTGGCTTCGAGACATGTACACCCCAAAACGGTGTACGCCACTCCGAAGACAGATTGTTAACGACAGACGTGCTGTTACGGTCATGTAAAGACACCAACCCTTTTCACGTAGCATTAAAAACTCTCGAATCAAGCTCCGCTGTTTGCGTTTAACGCCGAAGGCTCCGCTTTCCATGTCGCAGTGTTGCTATAGTCGAAAATAAGCCACGAGAAAAATTAAACTTGGATAAATTGTTTCAGCTGCGAAAAAGTCTCTTGGAGGCACACTGTCCGCCGTTAAAAGGAAGTTTAACAAGTAAAAATAGAGCGAAACGCTGTAGATGTGAAAGTGTAAAGTAAGCTTCTGTTTTGCTTTTGTTACTAACAATGAATAAAGAGTTTTTTCTTTCGAAGCTCACGTGCGGAAGAAATTTATTTTTGGCTAAAAGTACTCTGTCTTTTTTTTAAATTAAAAGCCCTGTGTCTAAGTTTTACAAAACAAACTAGTCAAGTTCAATTAAAATTTAAACTCACCATACAATATATTTTTACAAATATTTAAGTTCTAAGTAGTCGCTATAGAAAAGTGTTTTTTTCCACTTTGAAATTTAGAATGTCATTTACTGAACAGACGGCATTTGAAAAGTGATCGGGGAAAAGTAGTCGTAGAGTCGTAAACAGTCTGTCGAAAAGTGGTGCATGCAGAGCTACAAGTGCAATACTAACAGTGCTTGTTGCAATTGTAGAAATACGGATTGTCTGCCCTGATAAGCCGTACACGCAACTATCCACAAACTCGCAGAGTTCAGGTATGCCTCTTTATAAAGTAATAATTATAACTAGCCCTAGAAGCTACTCACTTAAACTTATTTACTTCTAATACTCGTATCGTAGGACCAAAGTGTCTAGTAGAGAATCTTCCACGTTTTAAGGCATTGTATTTTGGGCTTTTATTTATGAGAAGTTGTGTAATACAGACCTAACCTAACGCTGTGCATGACTTTTGGGAGTTACTATACTGTATTTTCCATGTATAAACCAGTGGTACTTGGTGCTCTTGTAGTTCCTTCTAGTTGTTTGGTGGTCACTGGTATTCGGCGGTGTTCCCCTCGATATTACTAATCTGGCGTTTATTTTCACAGCTCGACGACAAGAAATCATTAAGATGACCGAACAGCTTATAGAAGCCATAAATACAGGCGATTTCGAGGCGTACACGTAAGTATATCGTTTAAATAGAAGCAATGTTGCGTTTTTCACATTAGAAAACAATTTGTTTGCAAAGTTACACTGCGTGTGTTAATCGGTGTACGATTTCTGAGCCTATTTTGGTGTTTTAGTTAATTTTTATGTTATTGCAATCGTTTTTCTCACTAACGTGTGTTATTTTTGTTGGTCCTTTCAAAATAAATGATAAAAAAATGAAGAATATACGTAAATAAGCATCTATAATAATTGTTATTTCTTTTTTCAGAAAAATTTGTGATCCACATTTAACGGCTTTCGAACCAGAAGCTATGGGTAACTTGGTAGAAGGAATGGATTTTCATAAATTTTATTTCGATAACGGTAAGTTTTAGTCTCGTAACGATTTGTTTTAAAATACAATATATTTTTGGTTTACGCCAGTACAGGAAAAAGGAAAAAACAAACATACGACACGGAAATCGAAAAACTTTCAATGATTAAATTCATTAAGGACAAAAATCTTTCCATGCTTGCCTAAAAATCATAATCGTTTCTACATTTTCACCGAGTATTTATTTTATAGACGAGAGATCGCACTTTGTAAAGATTTCTTTAATCGGTGACTTTGTATTCGTAGGGCATTTGCAGGCCTATTATTGGCAAGAGCATTTTGTAAATTACGTTTTCATTATTATTATGACTATTTTTCATACAACGCTTAATATCCCCATCCTATTCTTATATATTATGTAGTCGCTGCAAATTCCACTCAAAAATTTTAATACTGTGAGTGCCGCCATCTTTTCGATAGTATCCAAACTATAGAAATGTTGAAATGCAAGGTTTCCCTTAATTTTTTGTTGAACTGAGCCGATCGACTTGAAATTTGGCAGATAGTTAGAGAAAAGGTCAATGAACATTAGGGACATAGCACCGATTGTCGCTTCCACCCTGTTGGGGGTTGACGCCCCTTCTCGGGGGTGAAAATTTTTTTTCGAAGTCACGCTGGAAATCGATAGAGAATCAAATTTTGGGCAAAAAATATTCGAAGAATTTTTTCGAGAAATCAATATTTGGAGGTTACAGCTGATGGAATTTTAAGTCGAATACGTATCACGTCATACTTAAGATCCCTTCTTGCGGTTTCTTATTAATTTGTTCTTTCCGTTTTCCTGCAGCGGCGGCGGTCCATCAATTCTGGGTTACTCTGTACGTGGTTTTTACTGAATTTTTAACATATTTAATTCCAGTTTTGGGTAAAAATTGCAAGGCGGTGAACACAACAATATTGAATCCGCACGTACATTTGCTAGGCGAGGACGCAGCGTGTATCGCTTACGTCCGATTGACTCAATACATGGACAAGTAAGTTAACACCTACAAATAGTACCAACGTTACAGAATTAATAGCTGTTTAACCTTTGCTTTGCGAATTATAGTGAACAGGGCCGGTAACACAGTTTCGTTGCAGGCACGGTCAGGCGCACACCCATCAGTCGGAAGAGAGTCGGGTGTGGCACAAAAGGGACAACAAATGGCAGAACGTCCACTTCCACCGCAGCGGAGGTAACGGGGGAGCTGCGTTCGGATTCAGTTCACATAAATAGAAGACATTAATCTGGGAGGTCCGCCCGTCCGGGCCCACCAAAAGCCATATAAACTATGTTTACTGTGAAATCTATTTGTGGTGATGTGTGATTCTCATATTTTTCATTTTTATATTAATTTGTTAAGTTTCACTTCTCTACCACGTACTGTACGTATTATACATGTTACCAGCCGTTGCTCCATATGACGCCGACGCGATTCATTCCCTTGCGCTAGTTCTAACGGGACGGCGCAAGAAAACCGACATCGTACACTTCCAGACGTCAAGTTTTACGCCGCAACCCATCCTCCAAACACCGACGGTCGCGTTATACGGAAACGGGTTTGATATAGATTGCCTTCGACTTTGTATTAATATAGGCTTGCCACTATGTGAAGGTTGACGTGAATATAGCCAACGGTTTTTTTAGGCGGCAGCTTGTACGCAGCACACCGACATAATTGTACTAAGATATAAACTGACTTAGCCAAATGAATTTAGAGGATATAAAGAGTTTAGTTTGTTTACACGACAACCGGAACTTTTAAATGAATTAATTTTATAAGCTAGGGTTATTGTCGGTGCGGAAGTTGTTTTATATTTGTAAATTATTGCCTTTCCTTCTCCAGTTGTTTTTCACCCGCTCGTAACGTTTATCGTTCAATTTGTAGTTTTCGTAATAGCACGCCGGAATAAAAAATTTCAAGCTAATTTCGAGTTTTTGTCGCAAGGAAATTGTTCTAACAAAGACCGAATGTAGACCGATCAAAATAACTCATTTAGAGGGAAAAAAAATTGTTACCTGGACTTTCATAAGTGGAAATGGTAACGGGCTTATAATAAACGAAAAAAAATAAATGCGTGAGCAGGGGCGGCGGACGGTTGATTTGGGGGGTTGAAAAGTTGTGAAAAATTGTATTGGCGAAAGTTGATATCAAACAAAAAAGTATCCAATACTAAAGTTGTAGATCATGCAAAAATCTGCAACTTTTGTAGGGGTCAATTTTTAACATAACCTCAAAATTTTCAAGAAAAATGCGAAAAACAGGTATTTCTCTGATTTTTCGTTTTTTATTTCTCATTTCCGCGAAAATAATTTAATTTTGACGAAACTTGGTGAAAGTATACCTCTCTCTGTCTTAAATAACCTCAAATTTTTCTAGATAAAAAAATCAAGTAGTTTCTGAGATATTCATTTGTTTCGGTCTGAAACACTTTTTTCAAAGAAAAATTCTACTTAAAAAATCATCATACAGAGTTCTGCCGGTAATAATTTTTTTCGTTTTGACATACTTTTTGGTGAAATAAAAAAATTTGTAATCACAGTTCAAAAACAAGCTCAAACGCAAAAAAAAATATAAAATAACGCAGCAATGAATTTTTCAGTAATTGTTGATAATTTGTTTAAATTTAAAAAAAAATCAAAAACTTATTACACCATTCAATTGTACGGAAAAAATACAAAAAAAATTCATTTTGGGTCAAACAATTAATTTTTTTGTATTTTTCCCGTACAATCGAATGGTGTAATCAGTTTTTGATTTTTTTTTTAAATTTAAACAAATTTTTAACAATTACTGAAAAATTCATTGCTGCAAGTCATTTTTTAATTTTTTTGCATTTTTGAGCATGTTTTTGAACTGTTATTACAGATTTTTTTATTTCACTAAAAAGTATATGTCAAAATGAAAAAAGTGATTACCGGCAGAATGATTTTTTTAAGTAGAAAAAAGTGTTTCAGGTCGAAAAAAATGAATATCTCAGAAACTTCTTGATTTTTTTATCTAAAAAAATTTGAGGTTATTTAAGTCAGAGAAAGATATACTTTCACCAAATTTCGTCAAAATTAAATTATTTTTGTGGAAATGAGAAATAAAAAATGAAAAATCAGAGAAATACCTGTTTTTCGCATTTTTCTCGAAAATTTTGAGGTTATGTTAAAAAGTGACCCCTACAAAAGTTGTAGATTTTTGCCTGATCTACAACTTTAGTATTGAATACTTTCTTGTTTGACGTCAACTTTCGCCAGAAATCCTAACGCTACAATTTTTCATAACTTCAACCCCCCAAATCAACCCTCCGCCGCCCCTGCTCACGCATTTATTTTTTTTAGGCTTATTATAAGCCCTTTTACCATTTCCACTTATAAAAGCCCAGTTAACATTTTTTTTTCCAAGTGTAATTTGGTTGGACTAATCGTGTTTTTACGTCATAACGTAATGGTTTACAAATCTACTATGACGGATATCGCACATGGCTTTAAAATTAAGAATTTTTACTAGCATTTAAATTACTCGTTTACGCGGCATGTTTTCCCTGCCGAACGCAAGTAGGCGACAAAAACGGAGACTAAACTACGAGAGCTGGAATATTTTTTTGAAATTTTAGGAGCGTATTCCGGTTTACCGTTGACTTGCGACGAGGCTGTCCTGCCATTCCGCGCACACGGGTAACGGGAAATATTCTGGAAACATTACTTCCATTCGACTGTTTTAAGATAAAGTACTATTGACATGTTTTTAGCTCTCTTAATATATATTTAAATGAATAATATGTAATCACTATGTATATCTAATTTTCACATTTTTTGGTCGTTTCCTACGTCTCGACGGGCCCCCCTCTAATATTCCCGAACGATAAACGTAAACGAAGTAAAGATAATCAAAGCCGGCAACTGTAACATATATTTGTATAAGCGATTAAAAGTCCAACGACACATAACGAAGAGATCGCGGAACGTTGGAGGGTCGCCGTCGTCCTACAAACAGCTTTTTTAATGTATTTGCTGCGATTATCGAATTTAATAATGAAATTATCCACTACATGTTTAGAATAGTTCTCCTTTTTAGTGAATTTGTAGTTAAATTGTAACAAAGTGGTCAGCGAGTCGTTCTATGAATTGACTTCAACCAGTTGAAAGATACATTTGGGCCTAAATGTTGATTTCTTTATCTTCTCGAGGAAAAATTATAGGCATTTATATCTCGCGGAATTTTGAAAATTTTCCTTTCGGAAAGTGTATTTTGCTACGTGGTGAATTTTGCAATTTGAGAATTAATTATAAAAATACGATAAATCAAAAAATGTCCATGATTTTTTGTTTCCAAATGTTTTGTAACAATGTTTAAAGAATGCGCGGTAAAAAATTAGTTAGGGTTCTAAAATAATTTGTTTTTACAGGAATATTTAGTTGCGAACCGGCGAAGGTTGATTTTTTTTACTTTATTCTGATCGTGTACTTATTTCTTTGTGATATAATTTTTATTATTATTTTTGGGAGTTTGAATCTCTTATTTATGTACAAAAGTGGACGTTTTAACTAATATCTTATCGACTATTTAAGGGGTTATACGCAGTTAGAATTTTCAAAAATTCATTTTTTTTTTTTACATTTCCAGAATATGTATATATCGACTCCCTGAAAATTTCAAATCGATCCGGTAAGTACTTTCCGAGATACAGGGTGTTCCTAAATAAGTGTCGCAACGGAAAACTGTAAATTCCTCTTGAAAAACGAAACATTTTTTTCCTCTTCCATTTTTCTCTCCGGGCTTTCGATTTCGAGATACACGGTGTCAAAACTAGAGAAAAATGGATGGAATGGATGCATTGTTTCTTTTTTCAAGAGGAATTTACAGTTTTCCGTTGCGACACTTATTTAGGAACACCCTGTATATGTAAGAGTAAAACGTGGAAGCAGCGCCAGCGATCGCAGTCCTTACCTAAAATTTCATCAATGTTACTAACTGTATTAAAAGCGCCAAATTAAAAAAAAAATCGGATAATTTATTTAGATACTCGATAAAGCTTATGAAGATAATATCGGTACCTCGGAGACCATTACCGTTGTGATATTCGTGTTGAGCGACCCCAAAAACCCCGAGGTAACCAGTTTCGGCTAAGTTTATAACAAATTTCCACGAAACTCCAGGAGACGACGTGGAAACCGGCCACCTGGGCACTAGGTACCTCGGAGACCGTTGCCGCAAAATTGAACTCATTTCCGTCAATATTTTCCGAGTTATAAATTTTTCATATTTTAACTCTTCGAGATGCAATTTTAAAAATGCATTTTTCTTATGCACCGATGCAATATTCATTTCTCATTGATCACGTAGGGTCAACAACTTTCTGGACGCTCTAACGAATCGAATGCAAAAAACCGCATCACGATCCATCATACTGCACAGATTTCGGAGGTTCAGTGTTTCATTTCCTCGACT